TAGAATTGTAGAGTTGGAAGGGACCATGAGGGTCAACTGGTCCACTCCACTGCAATCCATGAATCTTTGGCCCAAGATAGGGCTTGAATCCACAACCTTGAGTCTCACCCTGTACCTACTGAGCTATGTTTCTGGGAACACCTCTTTGCCCTGGCGTGTGACACCTAAGGTCCCTGAGTTTTTGAGACCCGCCCTATTCCTTCTTCTCACCTTCCTTGGATGTCTTAAAGCAGTGGCTGGACGGTTATCTGTCATGTATGATGTAGCTGAGATCCCTGCATTGCAGGAGGTCGGAATAGATAATCCTTCCAACTCTGCAGTTCTATGATTCCTGTGACCAATATAAGCCACCTTCTATTTTCTAAATTGCGAATGCAGAATTTTATGTTGTTGTAACCCACTTTTGGACCTGCTGGTGAAGGGATAATGATGAATAGCAATCTAAGTTCTCCAGTTGCCAGCCCTTCTGTAGCCGAGAAAGCAGCAGGCACAAGAGGGGAGGTATCAACAGGCTTGGGAGAACCCTGCGGGTGTGAGGAAGTAGAAAATATATTTGGGAGGGAAGCTCCAGGAACTGCCCAAGTTAAGGGAAGCTTGAGCATGCCCATTGGACACAGAATGTCATCTGACTATTGGAGGGAGAATATGAATACAGTGGTACCTCAGGTTAAGTACTTAATTCCTTCCGGAGGTCCGTACTTAACCTGAAACTGTTCTTAACCTGAAGCACCACTTTAGCTAATGGGCCCTCCTGCTGCTGCTGCGCCGGAGCCAGATTTCTGTTCTCATCCTGAAGCAAAGTTCTTAAGCTGAAGCACTATTTCTGGGTTAGCGGAGTCTGTAGCCTGAAGCGTATGTAACCTGAGGTACCACTGTATATGGGAAATGGTTGGAGGGGCAAGGAATGGAATGAAGTGATCCTGGGAAAAGGGCATAGCTGAACAGGAACGCTGCAGCATTTTGTTGTAGGTTCTGTTTTTCAAACCATTCCCAAAGATCCTTTGAGCTTCGTCAGTTAAACTATTAAAAATTTGATACCAGCTTAATGTAGGCGGAGAGAGAGAAAGAGAGAATAAAAAGTAGACAGAGGATGACAGGAATGCCCCTAAAACTCAGTCAGCAGTCATTTCCCCCCATGTTTTATTGTGTAAACGAACAACTATCCACCCCCCCCACAACAATGCAAATAAATTCCAAAATCAGCCCATTTCAACTGTTCCTCTACAAAGGATTCCCTCCCACCCAAGCTCTTAAGGCAAAATTTGTTTACATTTAATTCATTTTAGCATTGAAAAATATCAGACCTTCAGATACTGGCAAGTTAAACATATATTTGTATATATCAGCATAGAGGCTGTGGAATTTCTTCCCGCCTCCTCTCTTTTTTTTGGTTTAATATTTCATTTAAAAGGTATGGACAGTTCAGTTGACATGTTTTTTTCTCTCTGGCTTTCTTTATAAACCCCTGTTTTTTATTTTTGTAAATATAAAGGCACACAATGAAGCTTTATGCATCTATTAAAATATACACATTTGGTAAATTTAGATTTCTTTTCCATGTGTCAGTAAGTCAACATATTTATATTTATATATATTATATAATAGTCAACAACACAATCATTCTCAAAATAAAGGTCACTCCATTAAGATATCTGCATAAACTTCCGTCATGACACACCACAAAAACCCATTGCATAGTGCACCAATGGGGTTCAGGAACCACAAAAAAATAAATAAGTCAGAGAACAAACATGTTGTTTCCCTTTTAAACAAATACATCAATTTCATACCAGAACTGTAGAGAATTGTTACAGCAGGAAATGCTACCTGCAAAAAATAAAAATAAAACACAGTTGCAACTTGGACAATCTAGAAACCAAATGAAATGAAAGCAAGAAAGATTTGAATGTCGAACACAAATGCCATTGTTACGTCTACACACACACACACACACACACACACGCACACAGTGACAGTCTTTTGCAGCAACAAAGCTTGAGTGCAGGGCCTTGTAATAACATAATTGTAGTGGCCCCCTCTTCCAGTCCACTTGTACCCTTTGCAGATACAAGGGCTTCACAAGCTCTCAAGGGCCTTCCATTTGCTTTCATAGAGGGAACAGCTTGGAATGTGCAAAAGATTGCATGCGTCGAGTTACTGTTCATTTCTTGGGATGTCCATCCGGGTTGTGGAAACTGTGGGCCTCCAGATGCTGTTTCAACTACAACTCCCATCATCCCTGACTGGTTGCCCCATAGAGGCAGGGGCTGCTGGGAGCTGTAGGCAAACAACATCTGGGAGCGCCAAAGTTTCCCATCACTAGTTAAAACTCCTGAGGGCCATTCAGCTCTCATGGGCCTGTTTGCACACAGGCCGATGCACTGCTTGATTTCTCGTCACTTAGCCGCTGAACATGTGAAATGGCTCCATCGCAAAACATGATTTGAGACTGAGCTGAGGTGGAATTTCCACCTGTGCTGTTTGGCCAGTGATAGCTGATGCTGTGAGTTAACTGAGGTATGTATCAACAGTACACTTTCACGATTTTCTTCCAGAAAGAGCGGGATAGGTGCATCAAGATGTAGCTATGTTAAAGGTAAAGGTACCCCTGCCTGTACGGGCCAGTCGTGTCTGATTCTAGGGTTGTGCGCCCATCTCACTTAAGAGGCCGGGGGCCAGCGCTGTCCACAGACACTTCCGGGTCACGTGGCCAGCGTGACAAGCTGCATCTGGCGAGCCAGCGCAGCACACGGAAACGCCGTTTACCTTCCCGCTGGTACGCGGTCCCTATTTATCTACTTGCACCCGGGAGTGCTTTCGTTAGTTTCATCCAAAACCTTGGCCTTGTTGTTGTGTCTTTAATAGCTGCAAACGGGGCTCCACCCCCCCAGCCAGAACTCGAACTCAGTTCTGGCACCTCTCAGGTGGGCATCCTTGCCATTATAAGAGAAGACTCAAATTGGCTTCTATCTGTACAATGATGTCACAACAAGCTGCATTCTAATATCTCCAAATGTTTTTTTCATTCTCTTGAAAACACTGCATTCCAACCCTCACCTCTGTCCCACCCCACCCCACCCCCCGCCCCAAACCAATCTCCTATTTTATCATGCAGGAAAAATGCCCACTGTGTACATGCTGTGGTTGGTTGGGAGACTTAGGGTCCTTCATATCTACCTGGTCAGCACCTCCCATCCCACTTGGGTGTCTTTGGGTCAGTTGCTGCCTCTCAGCCTAACCTGCCTCTCAGGGTTGTTGTGAGGATAAAACAAAGAGAGGTGAAAGTGTGTATGCCACACCTGGGATAGAAATGCAACCAATAAATGAATAATTCCCTGACCAGTGGCCATGCTGTTTGGAACTGATGGGAGTTGCGAGTTCAACAATATCTAGAGGGCCGCAGGTTCACCACCCTGATTTATACTGAAGACGCTTTAGCAGCAAGAAAACACATTTCAGGCTTATCATCATCATCATCATCATCATCATCATCATCATCATCATAATATCTTTATTGTCATTGCCCTCTCTCGGGGATAACAAAATTACTTGGCTGCTCCATCCACCCAGGTATCACAGGAACAGGAAATGTGTATTCACTGGATGATTTGCATTCAAGAGTCACATCTCAAATTTAAAAAGGCAGTTTCTAATAGAGGTTGACCCTTCCAATGTGCTTTTGCTGCTCATTTCATTTGGGCTTCTGTGGGACAAATTCCCAATGAATTTCCTGTCAGGGGTGGATTTACGGGTGTGCAAACAGGGGGCGCTGAGCCAAGAGGGCACCACCTTTGAGAAGGAGCCGGAAGGCTCTGACAGGGTCCTAGAATGCTCTCACCTCCTTCCCAAGGCCTAGTTAGCGCTTTTCCAGCTTTGGAAAAGACGTCAGAGGGCTCCCAAAAACCAAGTTGCCAATAAAAAATCCCAGTCAAAACATCTATTAGTCCTGGGATGAAAATTTCCATTGGCGCCAACAGACACTTTTCATCTGGGGTCAAAGTGACTGGGGTGGGGGAAAGGAAAGGAGGTTAACCCCTATTTCCACACACTATGGTTTTGATCCTGGTTGGGATCCATAACTATTTGAATTTTAAGAAGCTTTAGGTACATGCACAATTAACATCACATCTGGTGGCTCTGCACCCCAACAGAAAAATCGGCACTCAGATATTTTGCTATGGAGGGAATCCAATCTGAATTTGTGCCCTCCTGGTACAAGAAAGATCAGAGAGCTGAATTTTAGAAATGTTGTGTATCATTGTGATTATACAAAAGAATAAAAAAACCAGGTTTTGAACTCTCTTCTGAAATAAAAAAACTTTCGCGTTATTAACATGAACAGGGTTTGTGTTGAAGCAGAACTGAAGTGCCCTTGACTGCAATATAGGCTTTCTTGCTCCATTAAGGGGGAGGGTCCTTCTCTTCAATATTCCCACTATAGCAGCCTGATCATTATAACTGTTACTGAGCAGGAGTTTGAAAAACACACCAAAACACACCTGAACCAGGTGAGCTAAATTTCATCTCCATTCTGACATTTGGTTTGGCTTGTTATGAGCTCCATGATCCCTACAACGTAATCCCTCATGTGTATGTTGTGGGTTAACTTTGATTTCCTGGTATATGAAGGCACTCACCTAGATTATGATATAAACATTACAAACAACAATAGCCCTGCACTACTTTCCTCCCCGCCCCCTTTTTAAAGGAAAAATGTTGCCATTGCATCATGATTTCGCAAGAAGTGACATAAAATGGGTAAAGAATTTATTTATTTATTTCTACATTTAGAACATGCTTTCAGGGTGTCTGGGAATTTTGCTTCCTTTCGTTCTATGAAAGAAGGTCATACAGGACCTTCTTTCTCCTCTAGGGAAAGGGTGAGGAACCTGTGGTCTCGTGGAAGGTGTTTAACTCCAACTCCCATCAGCCCCAGCTGGCATGGCCAATGGAAACTGGAGTCCAACAACATCTTGAGGACTACAGGTTCTTCATCACTCCTCCCAGGTTTCATTCTCTGAGCTAAAAGAGTAGGATCCTTTGGGAACGGACAACAGCTCAGTAGTAGGCTGCTGCAACCAGGGAAAAGCTTGGCAGAAGAATACAGTAAATGGCACAAATCCCAAAGCCCTTCCTTATTCCTTAGGAAATGTTTATTTTGAGAATTCTTTCTCGTGGTTTTTGCTTTATATGAGCCTCAGCCAAGGGCCACCACCTCTCCTCTTCTTGACCCCGTGGCCACCACTGAGCACTCCATGTGGCTCCAGACCATTTTAGAATCCTACCTATGTAGTATTTGTACAGAACTCTGTGCACACTTGGCTGCGAGTGCTGTTATAAATAAATATATTATGATTGTTTACGGAGAGGGGCAGTGCTGTTTGTACTAGGGATCGAATCCAAGAAGTTCTCTATTTTTGTACCTTGCAATATTATTAAGCTTTCCTTTAGAAAAGGGATTGAAAGACCCTGAGTTTCATCCTAGAGGTATGCAGTCAGCATTTAAAGTTGCCAAAGCATATTTGACTGGCTTGGAGTTTTTATTTCTTCGGGCAGGTGTGGGTAGCCAGTGGTTGCTGGATTTCAGCATAGGCGCTTATTCTGTCGGCTTTAGTTGTTGTTGTTTGTTTTGTGGCAATCACCTCAAGACTCACGTTGAAAGCAATTCCTAAATTAGATAAATAACAGAGTAAGCGGCACCCATTACCCTTGGCAATTGCCCAATGGGAACCAGAGTCCAACAACATCTGGAGGACCACAGGTTCCTCACCCTGTGGTTGAGATGACCATGATGGTCCAAACTACAACAATGAACAAGGCTCCTCACTTAGGGGATATGGGTAATAACAGTGACAAGCAAGCAAATGGACAAATAGTTCCGTACAGGTGCATCCCATGAGCTCAATCTCAAATGGCCAGATGAAAAAGTAAAGAAGGGCCAGTGAATATCTGATAAGCTGTGGATGTTTGATGGATCCCAGTTCCAATGACTTCTTTGCACATAGGCTGCAGAGCTTGGTATATGAAGCAGAGATCTGTAGGACTGCATAAAAGGAAACGTGAAGTTCTTGTTTGCTGTGTAGGATGTGACATCCGAAGCCACATCCTGTGCAAGATTGTTTGGAAATAAGCCCTGTTGTATTAATGGGTCTCACTCACCATACAAATTAAGAAAACTCACAAATGGAGAAAAACTTATTAACTCATGGGAACTTAGAAGGATCGTTGCAATGTTTTTTTATGCCATGTTAAAGGAGGCACAAATTCATGGTTTACCAGGACAGAAATCAGGGGAACTTTATCTCTGAAGGGAAATGGAAATGGAAATATTTGTCACTCAATAAAGTTAGTGAAGAAGATGCAACACCAACGTAAACACCATTGGTACTTTACTCAAGCTCGATATTCTCAACAGCTAGATTTAAATGTTGGAAATACAACAAGTCTCCTTTATATGTGGCAGGAATGTCAACATGTCAAAAGTTATTGGAGACATTTTGGGGGCATAATATTGCAAACTGGGGCATAAACCCTTCATTGGTCCTTTTCAATGTAACTCGGCTTGGTATTCCTGAGATCTAAAAATCATTGATTGATGCTAAAATAATATAGGCTTGATATTGGGAAAAAATGCCCAGTCTCCCTCCATTTGGGAATTGGCGTTAAAATGTTTGGACCTAGCTATAATGGAAAAAATGATGGAAGGTATCAAAGATTTGGGACAAAACAGATCATCAATATAGCAGACAAGTAGTTAAGTTGTATTGTTTATTGGAATAATAACTGTGGACATAATAAATGGGACAGAAGTCTGTTTTTGTTGTAGTATCAAATAATGTAATGTTTAAATTTTAATTTCTCACAATAGATTTATTTATTTAATTGGGTTTTAAAGGTAAGTGAGAATTGGGCTGTTGCCTCATTGGGAACTGATGCTGCCTTGGGAACCCATGGTTGGTACTGCACATAAAGCAGGAATCAGCTTTTAGTGTATCAAATAGGAAAAGTTGGGAGCTCCAAAGCAACCATTCTGCAATATTCAGAGTTAGATACTGAGTGGAGTGGAGTGATCTTACATGAGTATTGATTTGTTTGTACCATGGTTATAGATGACCTAAATCCAAGAAGTCCTGATATTGGTCTGAGCTGTGTTTCAGTCCATTTGAAGTAGCCCATGGATATAACATTAGGATTTTAGTCACATTCTAGGTTTAGCCTCCCATCTATTCCTAATGCAGATGTTTGAAGTTAGTGTTGAACTACATGTTCAGCAGAATCGCATGGTACCATTCTTGCTTGTGCCACATGATTCTCTAGTCATGAATATCAGCTTTTAGGGTCATGGTACTGAAATCAAATTGGACCACACTGTCACTGTATGGGTCCTGCCTGCTAAATTATTCCGGTTCAGATAAACCAAATCACAAAAATCTGACAACCAAAGTCTCCATTCTTACTAGATAAAATGGCTAAATGGATCAAACAAAATATCCAAAACGAACTCACCAAGATGCAAATTCCAACTGGTCAATATATTAAATTGTGGTTGTGTCATACCATAGTTCACCAGGAAACAACTGAGACAAAATGAATGGAGAAGGTGACACGGAAAGTGAAGCACAAGTGTGCCAAAGTGCAAGAATATTTTGCTAAGTGAAAAGGTGAAGTAGTTTTATATAGGTGAAAATGGGGGTGCTGGTCTGCACAGCCTGATCACTGGAGTTCTTTTTACCTCTGGAATATCCTCAGGGGAAAAATTATGGCTCCTGCCTGAATAAACCTACCCATCTAGTCAATGTTTGCATTCACAAAATGAACAACTGACTTGCTCTTTGCCAAATAACCTAACGGTCCTTAGTATGACTGCAACTGAGTATTTTCTTTGGCAGGGATGGGGAACCTGTGGCCCTTCAGATATTATAGGACTCAGCTTCCTTCTCAACCCCAGTCCACGTGGCCAACGGTCATGGATAATGGAATTCCAACAACATCCAGAGGGTAACGTGTTTCCCATCCTTCTCCACTGGAAAGCAAAGAGGTCATAGACATGTCCCCTGCCAATCTTACTGCATTTCCTTATCAGATACCCACTTCACTGAGTGTGGGTTCCATTGAAACCATACTATCGCTGCAGCAGGAAGTGTCTTATGCAATGGGTTTCCTAGGCCCAGAAAAAACCTCAACAGGCTCAACTAGCCTATCGGAAGCAACATTCAGTGAAAGAGGCCTGTGAATGGTGGTGGTGAGATCAGAGACATGATGTTTTCCTTGATGTGATCTTCTGTTGATTCAGGATGAGCACTTGGCAGAACCATCCTGAAGAACAGAAAGGTGTCTGAGTGAGTGAGTGAGTGAGTGAGTGATATGACTTCTGGAAACAGAAACCTTACGGGAAAAGATGGGTTTGAAATGAGAGCCGAAAGAAGCCACTGAATTTTAGCCCAAGGTTTAGCTTAGTGACAAAGAGTGGAACTGTCGTGTTTCCGTTTCATCTACTCGGGCGAGTAGTTTAACTCGTCATTTGAAATCAGTGCATCTGAGTTCTGTTTGTGTTTGCCTTTGCTCTTTGATTTGCTACTTGTCCGACTGTTTTCCTTTGCTTCCGACATATGCTGGTAAGAGAAACCTTTGTCATCGGCAGGATCCCAGTCCTGGTAGTTGTCGTTCTCGGCGTAGGCCAAGCCATCGTCGACGGAGAAGGGGTCGACATCAACATCGTAGCGCTGGTATGTGCTCTGATGCAGCGCCTCTTCCCGAGCGGTGATCTCCAGTGTGCTGTTCCATATGCCATAGCCAAAATAAATCAGCAACCCTGCAGGAGAGGGGAGAGTTTGGCTGGTAAAAATATTGTACTGTAGTCTGAATTAGGGTTGCCTTGTAGGCAAGCCAACATGAAACGGTTCCAAGCCCTAATGAATCTATAAACACTGCTGCAGAAGTCGAGTGGTTTATTATCTATAATTCCCCATATGGGCTATATACTCTGTGGGATAGTTCCAAAACTATCTTGATTGTGCTGTTCCTTCTCCTTTTGCTGAGCTCTTTTTCTGAAAACACATTTTATTTACTAGATGTTTCAGTTGCAAAGAAAAACCCCCCAGGGCAGAAAAGGAAACATGTAGAATAATTACACAACCTGCTGTGGTATGTTTTTGTTTTTCACCTGTAGGTTTTCATTGGCACACTATTGAAGCAGGATTTAGTAACAAAACAAACCACATCGCTATTTTTTTTAAAAAATGAAGAAAAGGAGAAATGAAGAAAATAAACGCAAAGAAAAAGATCTCTTGATTATGTTCTTCTGTGGCCTTTGCTTCCTCTCATTTCAATGGCAGAGTAGCAGAGGCTGAGAAGGAGGAAAACAAGTTGAGGATAAGGAGCAAGGCAAGAGATGAGAGTCACATGCAAATATAGGAGTTGTATCCCATGTTGTGTCTCATGTTGATAGAAAGGGAACTTCTTTCCAGCCGTGGGAAAGGGAAGAGAGGCGTTTCCTCCATTTCCCCTTTCCCTCTGCAGTCTCCCATGCCACCTTCTTCACAGTTCCAAAGGGTCCCCCAGGCCTTTGGAGAAGGTTTTGGGGGGCATGTGGGTAAGGGGGCTGCAGAGGAAGTGGAAAATGACAAATTATATCCCTTCATATTCAGCTGGTGGAAGGCTCTGCTGTATCAAAAATTTTTCTGTTGAACAACAGAGGTTGCCAACGTGGCATTGCTGGACTACAGCTCCCATCATCCTTGACCATTGGCCATGGCTGACTGGGGCTGATGGGAGTTGTAGTCCAACAACATCTAGATGGCACCCCACTGACTATTGATATGTTAGCATGAGAAACTCCACAAGGGAAGGGTTTAAGAGCTACTGAATTTCTTTTTATGTAGTTATTCTATTCTGCTGTGAAATGGGATTCCCAGCGGTGACCTATCCAAATGAAGATTTAGTTAGGTGTAGTCACAGATGCTTCAAGCCATTCACTGGGTCCATGCTGATATTACACAGTATTGCCTTGTGCTGTCATGCCATAACTCACCAATCAATACTTCATAGATAGAACTTTTGTAAAGCCAAATGGGGGATGCTTCTTTTAAGACTGGGGTGGGAAACTTGTGACCCCCTAGAAGTTGGTGGGCTCCATCTCTCATCTGCTGCAACCAGCATGGTCTGTGGTCAGGGGTGATGGGAGCTGACGTCCAGCAATATCTGGAGGGCCACCATTTCCCCACATCTGCTCTAAGAAGAGGTTTCCATTCTCCAAACCAATGAAGGTTGGTTGAAATTAAGCACTCTGATGTACTCTGGGTGGTCTCGTTAGTGGAATTATCCCATATTGCCAGGGATTGGCTGGATGACAAGGAGCAGGAGGAGGTGCCAGCCAGGGAACCTCCTAGGGAAATTGCAGAGGAGGAAGGTTCAGAGCCTGAGAATTGGTGGTGGTCAGAGGGAGAAGATTGGGGGGAAGAGTTGCATGCTGAAGGGACAACAGGGTTTCATGAGCTGGAGGAACCTGTGACAGGGAGCAGTTCAGACTCCAAGGCTGAAGCAGAGGTCAAGAAACTGCTGAAGAATCCAGGAAGTCTCCATCTCCTGCTCTGGCAAGCTCCCCCCCCCGTCTCCAAGAATGAGCAGGATAATGAGAAGAGTGGAACAGAGGTCAAAAGTGGGCAGACACAGTTTGAGACTGCTTGGGAAACAACCAGGAAAGGAGGAGTCTTAGAAGGAGTGGAAGGCAGAGACCTTCAGTCCTGGTAACTGCTCTATAGGGGCAAGACCTACTGGGAATTGTTCAGTTGTATGCCATTTCCTTGAATAAAGTGTCAACTTGACTGACAACTGTCTCTGCTTCTTTGTGCTGACCTGCATCTGACCCTGACACATGCACTGTCCCCAAACCTTCACACCCCACGTTTAGAACTTACCCACAAAACACCAGACAGCAAACCGGATCCAGGTGATCCTTGAAAGTTTCAGCATGAGATAGATGTTCACAAGCATAGCGAAGGCTGGGACAAAAGGCAGGCAAGGAGCCATATAAGGGAGCTTTTTGGGGTTTTCTGGCTGCTGGAGGATGACGAACACCAACACAATGATCAGCAGGACCATCAGGACCACCAGAAGAATTGCCCACCAACTTTGGTCATAGAGGTAGTCCACCCCAAAAATGATGAAAGAGCAGAAGATGAACATTAGGACAAACAGCAAGAGCACACAAGTGGTGACAGTCTGGCCAGTAGCCGCAGTGGGTCGATCCATTTTCCCGGGAAGTCCCAGGTGGATCCTCATCGTGTAGTATCGTGGTCCTATGAGTTTCTTTAGCTTGATGAGGTAGATGTTCTCAGACTCATCTGCCTCTATTCCAGAAGTCATGTCGACCGTGCCATAGTTGGGGTGGTTGACGTTGTAAGCGGATTTGTCCGATTTCCCAATGAGCATCTCGTTGTCGCCCAAGGAAGGCAGGTTCTTAGCGCCACAAGTGTTGGTGGGCGGGCCTGCAAACTCCTCCCCTTCGCTGACCGGAGAGCAGACTTCCTTCTCGCAGTCTGCTATGATCCCTTCCTTCTTCTTAGTGTGCTCTTCAGAAAGGAACTTGACGAAGCCGTCAATGTCGCTTTCTGGTTGGTACCGAAGAAGCAGGACGCACACGGAGACCAAAGTGTAGGCAAGCAACGTGCCGATGGACATCATCTCTATTAGGTCCCTCAGGCTTACCAGCAAGGAGAGCAGGGCTGCGAGAAACCCCGAGACAATGCAGGCGACTACGGGAGTCTCCGTGTAAGAATTTACATGGGACAAGAACCTAGACGTGAAAGAGTTAAAATTAGCATAAACACCATAAACTCCCTATTATTGACTTTTAGGACAGAACCTGTGGCCCACCATATGTTTGCTTCTTTATTTTATTTTATTTTATTTTATTTTATTTTATTTTATTTTATTTTATTTTATTTTATTTTATTTATTCCATAAAATTTACACACTGCTTGATGGTAATAAGAAGCTTCAAGGAAGGTTTACAGAAAGATAAAACAAGAAAATCAAGAAAAATCTACAACCCTACTTCAAAACATGCAAAAGTTAAAATACTAAAGCAGATGAAAATCACCTCAACTTTCTAAGCTTGTCTAAACACTGCCAAAAAGCAGATGCCAAAAAGAGTACAGTGAAGGCTCAATCTCAATAGGCAGGGAGTATCTCACAAATATGGGCATCTGTAGTAGTAGCACAAATTCTGCTGATCAAAACGGTTGAGTGGGCACATGTAATGTAAGGTGATCTCATAGGTAAACTGGTCCCAAGTTGTTAAGGGCTTTATATGGCATCTTGGCTGTGAGTCCTGGAAGACCTGCCCCCTTCCTTGCTGGCCTTTTCCTACCTGCCTTGGGAGGGTGGGGCCCAGACTGACTCCAACTACAAAAGCTGAGGCTGCTGAACAGACTGTTGGGCTGGGGTATTGCTTTGGGGTGGTTGTTGTTGTTTCTTTTTTTGGCTGCAATTATTGATGTTATTGTTATTATTTTCATCTTCATTTTTAGATCTTATAACAGTTTATATGGAAATTGGGACGCAGGTGGTGTTGTGGGTTAAACCATAGAGCCTAGGACATGCCGATCAGAAGGTCGGAGGTTCGAATCCCCGCGATGGGGTGAGCTCCTGTTGCTCGGTCCCTGCTCCTGCCCACCTAGCAGTTCGAAAGCACGCCAAAGTGCAAGTAGATAAATAGGTACCACTCCGGTGGGAAGGTAAACGCTGTTTCCGTGGGCTGCTCTGGTCCGCCAGAAGCGGCTTAGTCATGCTGGCCACATGACCCAGAAGTTGTACGCCAGCTCCCTCGGCCAATAAAGCGAGATGAGTCGGCCACGACTGGACCTAATGGTCAGGGGTCCCTTTACCTTTACTATGTGGAAATTGTTACGTTATGGTTGTTTACTTTTTGCTGTGTTGTATTTTTGCTTGTAATTATGTAAATCTTTTCATGTCCTAAGCCACCTTGAGCATGGTTTTAACTATGAAAAGGCAGCATACACATTAAATGATGATGATATGCTAGTAGTAACACCTTGAACTCAGCCGGGTAGCAAACTGGTAACCAGGGCAGATCTCTGAGCCCAGGTGTTGTATGCTGACAAGGCCTCACTCCTGTCAGCAATCGTGTTGTAGCATTCTGCACTAACTGCAGCTTCTGGACCAAATGCGAGGGATTTGCGTGTAGGTAGACTAAAATCCCCATCATTAATTACTGTCCAGGCTGACTAGCTGATGGGAGTCTGAACCACCTGGTATAACAGAGGCAGCCACTGTGCTGCCTTCAAGCTGCTGTTGGAGTCCTACCACCCCTGACTATTGGCCATGCTGGCTGGAGGATTGATGGCTAATGGAGCCCAACAACTTCTGGCTAGCCCTGGCAAGGTCTTCCAAGGCCCCTTCTCCAACTGCCTCTGATGACATGGGACTTACCTGAAGAGAAGCCCATCGCCAGCCATAGCATAAATGATCCGAGGCATAGGGAAGAGGGAGCCCAGCAAGCTCACCGTCAACCCAGCCACAGACCCGATGGCAACAATGAACTTGGCAGTGTAGAATCGGTGGGCTGCAAACATCTCCATCAGGGGCGATTCGGTATCAATGTCGGTGTATGGCACCATCAGAGTCAAGATTATGCTCACCTGTTGAGTGGGAAGAGTGAAGGTGATGTATGGTTAGAAGTGGCACGGGGTTTACTTATTTATTTATTTTGGGTGCCCCATTGTAGCTCTCAGGGCAACTCACTCCTTTTGTTTACTACCACCCTTCACCAATTGATCCCCGGCCAGTTTAAAAATCCAATCATAAAAATAGAATAGATAAATAAATAGATAAAACAGCAATATAATCACACACACACACACCAGCAGTACAGGAGAGAGAAGCAGCATCCTATTTTTCTGGACATTATGAAAAGAAAACCAAAACCCGAAGCAATCGTACATTCCGTTCGCAAATGCGGAGCTCCAGCTTCATTTGATTGAAAGAAGCTGCTAAGATCTCATGGAATGTTTATGAATATTCCATTAGTTCAGAAGTTTGTAAAAGGGATAGAGGGAGCTCTTATGGCGGGGTTGCAGAGGAGCCAGGAAGCAGCACTATGACAACAGTAGTTAACTGTTAGGCTGAGTGTGTGGCTGGCATGCGTGGGAGTGCTATGTGATCCAGGGGTGTGAGTAGTATGCACATTGTGCATAAATTGTGTGTGTGTAAGAGCGAGAGAGAATGTGAATGAAGAATGGGCACAGAAAAGATGACCGACCGCAAACCCATCAGCAGGGTTCGCCCAATACATTCTGTTGCTGGAGATGAAGGAAAAGATGCCCCTACCCACTGCATCCCATGTACCAGATTGGCAGGTGAATTTTACCTTGACTCTGGCAATGGGGCAGCATCATCCACTGCACCTGAGGGCCACAGGAGTGTGTGTGTACAGGGCAGACCAGCACCTACTGGCGGAGGCAGCTGCCTCGCTCTCCCTAATGGTACAACCAATTCTGCAGTCCACATGGACAAGCAGCCATGAGCCTGGATCAGAAGCTTGTCTTCCTATACACATAAAAATGAAAGATTGTCTTCACACCAAGGTTCACGGGGCCATCAATAGGCGGCCATGCCAACCCCAGCGGGACAACAATGCTCGGCAAATGAGCAAGCAAGCAGAGCAGGTGGCCCAGGTGATCTGTTGAATGGAGGAGGGGGAGGCGTGGTTTGCCAAGGTTTCTCCCTCCCCCTTTTAAGCTCAAACAAACACTTTTGTATTGCCACATAGTTCAGACATTCCTCAGCTTGCACCTTACATTCTCAGCCACCACGTTACACCTTCCTGCAAAACACAGAATTGTACGGAGCGCTTACTTACGGACACATATGCGGTCAGGCACGTGACAAGTGAAGCAGTGATGGCATAAGGGATGGAAGTGTTGGGACTCTTGGCTTCTTCTCCAGTGGTGGCAATGATGTCAAATCCGATAAAGGCGTAGAAGCAGGTGGCTGCACCTTGTAGCACCTGTGTGACCAATAGACTCACGTTAGACTGATCGAGGCTTCTAAGTCATATCCATTTATCTGGAACGAACAATGCCTTCTTATATTCCTAATGACAACCTGCACACTTCTTTACAGCTATTAATGGTGCAGGAGTCCCATATTCTTTTGCATGTGACCACCCTACTTTTATGACACCCCAAATCAGCTGCCCAAGGTGGCTGCCTCATCCTGCCTCAAGGTAGGCAGAGCCCTGACTGGCAATTCAAGACGGTAGTAAAGAAAGAGAAAATAGAAGGGAATAGGTTAGCCCAGGGGCAACCAATGCAGTGCATTCCAGAGGCTGTTGGACTCCAAATCCCATTAGCCTCAGTGGCCAATGGTCCAGACTCATGGGATCTGGAGTCCAAAAACATCTGGGGAGCATCACGCTTGCTACCCTTGCACTAAACAAGGTGAACAATGGGAAGAAGTTGCAGAGATTGGGACAGCACAGGGACAGATGGCCTTGCATGCAACATATTAAATGCTCATTTGAAAGAAACATAGTTTCTCCAAACGCCAGGGATGGGTAACTGGTGTCAATCCAGACTCCAACTCCCATCAGCCAGAATGGCCACTAACCAGGAAATCCCACTTTAGGCCCTGTGGAAGAGTCCTTCCATCGCTTTAAAAATAATCTAGCAAAGTTAGTTTTAAAACTGAAAGCCACCACATATCTCCTCTTTGCTGCTGCATTTTCTGGGTCAGACATTCAAGCAGCATAAATTAAACTCACTAGCTTGGGGGCCAGGCCAGAATACCTGCAGTCTCTGCTCCTCCTTGGAGAAGAACTTGCCTCTGCAAGGCAGGAAATCCAAATCTGTTTGAATTCCCAGCTGAGTTTTAAGCTGACACATGGGTAACAAGCACTAATTGGGCAGCACTGGGAAGTACGTATGAAGCAAATGACTTAGGCCTATTGCTATACAGTACTGAGCAACAACCAAAGCAAATATCAGTGCATCCTAGTCTACTTCAGACTTCCCCAATCTGCTGCCCTCCAGGTGTTTTGAACTACAATGCCCATGAGCCCCAGTCAGCTGTGTTGGAAGGTACTAGGTTGGCGGAGACTATTTATTTCAGACCCAATTTAACACACTGGTGCCCGTTTAAATACAGTTGAAAGCAAAGGGGTTTGTCGTCCCATTGCTTATAATGGTGTGCATAGCCTGATCCTAAGCATCAGAAATAAGTCCCACTGAGTTTAGTAGTGTTAATGCTCAAGCAAGCATGCATAAGATTACAGCCATGCAGTGCAATCCTGGCCATGTTTAGGGATGTCAGTCCCACCATGTCCGATTAATAGGGCATCATCCCAGAAAAGTGTGCACAAGATTGTAGCCATAGGCATATATACTTCCTTTTAGATTGCACCCACTGACATCATGCTTTTCACCCATGTCATTTTTTGTTCTCAGCAAACCATTTACCTGCCTGTTGGTGCTGTGCGTTTTATTATACACTGCTTATGGGATCAATTGTAATTAGCCTTTAAGTCATCAGCTCTCCAGAGAGCGCGATAATTGTGTTTATGCATTGTTAATTTCACTCGGTTGAGCAATTCTGTTTTAGCCACCTTTAATTTTGCCAGCTGGAGAGTGAAGTGGTGTTTTGTTTTGTTTTGAACTTGAATGAAAATCTGGAACATACTTTGGGGGTGGTATTTATTTCAAACGGACTAGTAAAAGAAAGGAACGTTGATTAAGCAATGGGCTACAAGCCAAAATGGCTATGTTTGACCTCTGCCTCTGAAACCACAGGTGGGCAGAAGGCTGTTACACTCATGCCCTGCTTGTGAACTTCTCACAGGCATCTGGTTGGCTACTGTGACAACAGGATGCTGGACTAGACGGGCCACTCCATCAGTCTCATGTTCTTAGGTATCTAGGTTCAAGGTACCAATGGAGGTTCAATGGAGGTTCAAGGAAATCTTAAGGAAGACATCCAGATATCTCTCTTGGAAGTGGAGATTGGAGATTTACATCATGGTTTGGTACATCAGAAGTGGGGGAACTGTGGGCATCTTATGATATATATCATTTTTATTAAATCTCCAAAAATATTCCAAAACATTTATTGTCATACACACACAAAATTCAACATAAATTTCTTCTTGACTTCCCACCCCTCCTTTCCCGATGCTTGTATTTTTACTTCTTTTTAGGGAAGCTGTGAGCTTCAACATGTGCTTGGACTTCAATTCCCATCAGTCCCAGTCATGGAGCCAAGGATGATGGAATTTGCAGTCCCACAAGATAAGGAGACCTATTAGGTATGTTATTGTTGAGTATCGTAGTCATTATTGAGATGACATGAGAAATCAGGCCAAGTAGACGAGAGGAAGTTGTATCCTGTGCTGCAGATCCACCACTGCAGGAGATTTCCTCAGCAGAACTCCCACCACTCCTCTTCTGCAGTCCCCTCCAGACCTGAATATCTACTCCAGAAGGGATGCATGGGGAGAGGGGAGGGAAGAGAAATCCCATTGCTTAAGCCACTCGTACAGCATTGGATACAACCCAGGATCCTTATATGAAAGGGGTGCCTGCTGTGGATTTCTCCTTGCCAATAATAAAAATGGAGATCCATGTAATATGATGCCTTTAAAGACTTGTCCTTTGGTTGCCAGGCTTTTAGGCTGATAATGGCTGAATTCTTTATCAAAATCACTTACCCCCGACCATCCAAATGGCAGGAACTGCCCTTCGGCCCAATATTCTCCATTGACATAGAAGAGTCCAGCAATCATGATGAAGAGCCACACCACCAAGTTAATCACGTTGAGGACGTTGTTAAATCCCACAGAGTTCTTCACTCCCAAAGCGACAATGATCGTTACAATGACAGCAATGAGCAAAGCCAGCAAATCTGGGTAAGATTCTTCCCCTTTACCTATGAGAAGAAAACATAGGTATATATGGAACTTTGGAAATATAGCAGAAACAAAGGAAAGGCAAATAAACGATCTTCTGGGGGATTGTGTCGGTTTAAGAAATCCTTCTGCACTTAGTATTCACGGCACAGCAGACATGCTATGTTAACTCTTTCTCATAGGAACATCGGCATGGCATTGCCATCAAATGGTTTTGTTCCTGTGTCTTCTCTGCAGCTCTTTTCTGTTTTCTTTTCAGAGCACAGAAAGTCTGACTTGTTCCCCAAACAATGGAAGAGCAGAACCGTCTCCAGAACTGTAGGAAACTTGAGCACCACCTGTTCTATTTCTTATGGCATATTGGGCAGCTGAGCACATTGTCACACATGGACATCTCTGTGCATCTTCACCTTTCGGTGTTAATCTGCAATTTTTTTTTGCATACAGTATATATTTAATGAAAATGAAACAAAACATTTCATAGTGCTTAAAGATAAGGGTGGGGTGTTTTTTTTAGTGCAAATAAATTTTTTGATTCCATCTCTTGAAAGGAAACCATCTTTATGACCCTGCATTTATCTCCATGGTGTTTTTTTTTAATCTAGTTTTCTTTCGTTTACTTTTTAATGCTCTTAAAAAGCAAATGCACAATAGTGCTGAAATTTAAAAAGTGCCTTAAACACAAGTGTTGGAAATGTCCGAAAGGTGGGTTTCAGTGTGGTGGTCCCTGCTCTGCTTATATCAAGTCCAATGGCAGCAGTTGGTCAAGGGCCCTAGGGTTAGTAAGGTCCCCCAGGGTCCTGACCCTGCTACCCAGTAACTCACCATTCCCTTGTTGGACCCAGGACCAGATGTATTTTAGCTGCGGTGTGTGACTGCTGCTCTTGAATATGGCCTGGCCTTGCTGGGACTCTGGGAAGGACCAAACCGTCTAAGTGAGTTGCCACTAAGTTTTTCTGTGGCAGCTGGAAAGCTTTTTAAACTTAGATGCACATTTCCCTAAGCTTGGGGACTGGAAATGTTGAATCAATGCACACAATATTTCAATTTCAACCATCTTGGTGCGCTGCGATTTCCATTCAGAATCCCATGGCTTCTTGGAGCCTAACTTACAAGATTAGGCAAAGACAGGAGTCACAATCCGGGATAATCCTTACCCAGCCCATTCAAAGTCCCAACGGTGTCAATCATCCAGCGACTGATGGTGTGATTGGCCAGGGAGTCGAACATGCTGCTTAGGGCACTGGCGCCTGCTGCTGTGCCGATCAGATACTCCAGGATTAGGTTCCATCCGATGAAAAAGGCCACAAACTCTCCCACCGTGACATAGCTGTAAGTGTAGGCGGAGCCAGTGGTTTTTGGAACTCGCACACCAAACTCGGCATAGCAAACCCCTGGACAGAGACACAGGAAATGCATGTAACCATAAGGAAATGTGGCTGGAGGAAAAGTAATCCCTTATAAGTTGGCGTCAAAACAAGAAAAAGGTTGAGATCTTGTGAAGGGATATCCAAGCCCTTAAAGGTTTGTCCCTTTAAGAGTTCCTCTCTTTGTCCAAAGAGTCACTTTTCTATTAGGGAAGTGGGCAAGATATGTATACCTCTTTCTTTCTCTCTAAATCCACAGGAAGAGGCTTGGGGTGCTAAATCGGTCTAGCCTTCGTGGAATTGGCATGGCACCATTATTCTTGCTTGCCCTGCCCTTCCTGGCAGTCATAAGCATCAACTGCTCATCTACTAGGCCAGGGTTTCCCAAACTTGGGTCTCCAGCTGTTTTTGGACTACTACTCCCATCAACCTTAGCCAGCAGGACCAGCGGTCAGGGATGGTGAGAACTGTAGTCCAAAAACAGCTGGAGACCCAAGTTTGAGAAACCCTTTCCTAGGCCATGGCTGGGGAACCCTCCCCCCACCACGCCTTGAACCCTAAACAAGCCTCTTCACATCAAATTAGGAGTTGTTTCCATGATTTGCCTAGCCCAAAAGATGTGCCTTACCTATGCGCTAAGCCATAAGGGTCATGCTACATGTTTAGTAGTGGGTGTTTAGGACACGGGTGGCGCTGTGGGTTAAACCACAGAGCCTAGGGCTTGCCGATCAGAAGGTCAGTGGTTCGAATCCCCGCAGCGGGGTGAATTCCCGTTGTTCAGTCCCAGCTCCTGCCAACCTAGCAGTTTGAAAGCATGTCAAGTGCAAGTAGATAAATAGGTGGAAAGGTAAACAGTGTTTCCATGCGCTGCTCTGGTTCACCAGAAGCGGCTTAGTCATGCTGGCCACATGACCCGGAAGCTGTACGCCGGCTCCCTCGGCCGGTAAAGTGAGATGAGCGCCGCAACCCCAGAGTTGTCCGCAACTAGACCTAAAGGTCAGGGGTCCCTTTACTTTTACCTTTACATGTCTAAAGGGAGAGGTACAGGGAAGCACGGCTTGGATTCGGACAGCATGTAAACAGGCAGGAGCTTTGTAACAGTGTTACCACCATTCAGGTCAATAAAACCACAGGGTTGGCTTTCTCCCTTGTCTAGAATTAGGTTTGGTAGAGGGAATGCTGGAGGCTGCCAGAATGCAAAGAAGTGCACTGCAGTCCAGGATGGGTGGAAGAGCAAGTTAACAGCCACTGACACCCAGTGCTGGCTACGTGAGGCAGCTGCCCCACTCTGCCCAACAGCAGGGCTGTTTATTACAACAATGTACTATTCCAATGAAATGCTAACTTGGAAATGTGCTCCAAGTGTCGGTAAAGGTAAAGGGACCCCTGACCATTAGGTCCAGTCGTGACCGACTCTGGGGTTGCAGTGCTCATCTCGCTTTATTGGCCGAGGGAGCTGGCGTACAGCTTCTGGGTCATGTGGCCAGCATGACTAAGCCGCTTCTGGCGAACCAGAGCAGCACACGGAAATGCTGTTTACCTTCCTGCCAGAGCAGTACCTATTTATCTACTTGCACTTTGACGTGCTTTTGAACTGCTAGATTGTCAGGAGCAGGGACCGAGCAACGGGAGCTCACCCCGTCACGGGGATTCGAACCTCCGACCTTCTGATCGGCAAGTCCTAGGCTCTGTGGTTTAACCCACAGCACCACCTGTCCTATACAGCTTGGGACCAGGATACCCAGCAGCTCAGCTCACCGCTTAAATACTTAACTGAACACTGCAGGTGGGAGCCTCCTGTGCAGACCACCTTATGGTCAGGAGGTCCTTTCCATATGATGCAGGAATCAGGCCTTTAGTGTAGCAACACCTACCCTTTGGAAGTCCTCCTGTTAGATATCAGGAAAGAGTGAATTCCATCAGCCTGGAGAGCTCAGTTGGTTAGAGTGTGGTGCTGATAATGCCAAGATTGCAGGTTTGATTCCTGTATGGGACAACTGCATATTCTTGTACTGCAGGGGGTTGGATATAGATGATCCTCAGAGCTCCTTCCAATTCTCCAATTCTATTATCTTTTTGGTATCTATTAAAGACCTTCCTTTTCAAAGAAGCCTACACACACACACACACACACACACACACACACACACACACAATCTGTTTCCATATTGGACTTGAAATTGCTTTCATTTATATTTTCCTTGTTTATGTTTTCATTAAATCGTTTCAGGGTGTTTTATGGAAAATAATTGATTAACAAAACAAAACAAATTACTGAAAGCACCAATAAAACCCATCTTTTCTAACCAGTCCCTCCTGGCGTTTATAGCCGCAGACTTGTTGCTGGTTCAGGTCTGTGTCTCCTCCTCTGTTCTGATAGCGAGACAGACTGTTATTAACATCACTTAGATCAATCGGAACAACACTAACCCCAGCGGTCAATAATACCCTGTAATTGAAATGTGTATGCCCACCTCTGCTCTTTCATTCTGGAGTATGATAAGCAGGTAGGAAAGATACAATTTCTAGCCAATTCCATTCTGTTGTAGGAGCATTCATTGGTTCCTCCCACCCCCCACCCTGGCCTTCTGTTTGATTTCACAGTCAATTCCTAAAGTGTATACTGTCGCTTGGTTGTTATGCTGTCAGAACTTCTAGCATGCTGTAAAGAATATGAATGATTCAAAGCTACCATGAGCAGGCCCAGCCTCTTCATTTACAGAGCAACAAATGGTGCTTGCGTGCAGGCGCGCGCGCACACACACACACACACACACACACGGTTAATGGATGGAGAAATCCGTCCATTTCCATTTCACATTTTTCCAATTCAATTCATACATCAGTTTGTGATTTTTTGAAAAAGTCCTTGTGAAAATGCACCTGCATTTTACGGAGCATTTCCCCTAATATATAAATTTCTGTATGTGATTTTGCTTATTTTTATAAGTGCTTTCCCCTGCATTTGGATTTTTGTATATATATTTTCATATTATACTGAGAAGTGTGAATTAGGTAGGCTTGCATTAAAATTTCTCCACCCCAGTACTGATGAAGTTATTTTGGCACCTGGAATAGTAAGCCCCATGAGCTTACTAGCATGTGAAAAGGATCCAGGGGTCTTAGTAGACCACAAGCTTAACATGAGTCAACAGTGTGATGCAGCAGCAAAAGAAAGCTAATGCTATTCTAGGCTGCATCAACAGAAGGATAGTATCCAGATCAATTTCTCCTAAGAGGCACATTTTTGTATGCAATTCTGCCCAATGTATGCATTACTGCAAAGCAGATTTCCCCAATACAATGCATTTTTATGCACGTTTTCACTCTAATTTATGCATTTTGTACACATTACTCGGCTGGAGTACTGCCGCTGCAAATCTGGAGAAGCAAAAATGTTGACAGATCGCTGGGTTTCATTTCTCATATTGTTTTGGAAACTGCGAAGTTTGCCTTTGAATGAACACTGAATCAAATTTCTCCCCTATCTGTCCTTCTGAGTTTGCAACTAGCCTGACATCTTGAGAAGATGATTCAAATGACTGTCATTTTCACATTGCCCCAGTTTTCCCACTAAGTCCAGTGAATGTGCTAAATGGCACATGAAGGCGCAGGCTGATGATATTAAGTGCTCTTTTTATTGAAGGCCCTCTATATTTCATGCACTTTCATATGCACTTGGATAATGAAAGCTTTCAAGGGGATATCTGAGACTTTTATTTCTACCATGTAGACCAGGAACAAGGAAGAATGAGGTGGGGGAGGAACCAATCCGAATTCCTCTCCCCCTTCCCCGCCGGCCGACCACTCAACCATTGACTTGCATATAAAGTAATTATTCAAAGCTGATTAAAAATGCATGCAAGCTGCACACACAAGAGACCAGAGAATAAGTACATGCCTGAAAGATTGATGAAACAGATGCCTTGATGAAGACAGGTATTCTATTCCAGGCTTTGACTTGAAAAACCATAACGAAGCTGGTGGCTAACTTTAGCCCACAGGCAGGCAGGCAAGGTTTGTGTTTGATGTGCATAATGAGAACCCACCAAGTGTCCCTATATTCCAGGGACAGTCCCAGATTTGCAGAAGCCGTCCCAGTTTCTGATTTGATCCCAGAACGTCCCGCTTTCCCTGTTTTCATCGGAGAAATGTTGGAGGGCATGCATAGCGGTAACTAATCGGCTATCTCATTAGTATGCCAAGGTAACTCGAGCTCCTGTTATAATTTACATATGGAACATTAGCAGAATTTCCTGTGCCTTGGTTATTCAGAGAGGCTCGTTTGTGCACAAAACCACACACACACAGGAAAAGCAGGAAGCATCTCGGCGGGGGAAGATAACAAAGGAGAAACCATCTCAAAGAGGCTGGAGAGTAATGCAGTTTTTATTCATGCCCAGTACATTTCAGCAGGCTATCCTCCTGGGCTTTTCTACAAAAATATAGACAGCGGTGAATAAACAGTGGGTGTTGGGTGGTGCTGTGGGTTAAACCACAGAGCCTAGGACTTGCTGATCAGAAGGTCGGAGGTTCGAATCCCCGCAACGGGGTGAGCTCCCGTTGCTCGGTCCCTGCTCCTGCCAACCTAGCAGTTCAAAAGCACGTCAAAGTGCAAGTAGATAAATAGGTACTGCTCCAGCGGGAAGGTAAACAGCGTTTCCGTGCATTGCTCTGGTTCGCCAGAAGTGGCTTAGTCATGCTGGCCACATGACCCGGAAGCTGTACGCCAGCTCCCTCAGCCAATAAAGCAAGATGAGCGCTGCAACCCCAGAGTCAGTCACGACTGGACCTAATGGTCAGGGGTCCCTTTACCTTTATGACAAGTGGCATCATGCAGGTGTACAGTCTGAATGGTTTCCTCTGGGTGGCATACAGTCATAGAACTGTTGAGTTGGAAGGGACCCTAAGGGTCATCTAGTCCAACCTGCTGCAATGCAGGAATTTCAGCTAAAGCATCCATGGCAGATGGCCACCCAACCTCTGCTTAAAAACCTCCAAGGAAGGAGAAGTCGACCACCTCCCGA